GGAGCAAAGCAAAATAGGTGTTCGATTGTGAGATATGAAGTAATTTGATATTTTTCGCTTCAGCCGTGCGGAAATACCATGAAAATGGAACGAAAGTAATTTAACGATATCTTTAACATTCAAATCAGGTCATATTCGGAAATAAAATATGTTAGATGATTTACAATTAGTGACTTGAATTATATACATTTACATTTTAATCATATCCGACGCAACCTCACGGTTTAAACTACTAGTGTAGTTTAAACCGTGAGGTTGCGTCGTAAAATAGACCACTCTTTCCTTTCCTGTGGGTGTCGTAAGAAGCGACTAAGGAAGGGTGAGGGATGGGAGTCCATTGCTTGGGTACCTCTGTCCCATTCGTGTTTCTACCGGAAGCAGTTGTGTTTGCATGGCTGTGTTTCGGTTTGAAGGGTGGGATATGGCGTGAATTTACTGGGTACGGAGGAATAACACCTGAGTCCTCAGGAACGGCAACGCATGGAAGGTATCATGGGCGAAACAGTATACTCTGTTATGTCCATGGTACTGCTCATGTCTATAGGCGACAGTTACCACTTTTCATCAGGTGAGCCGTCAGCTTGTATGCCATTCTAAGTTGTATAAAAAAAATCTCCAAAGTCTAACTGCAGTTGCCAATCCGCCTGCCAAGCCTAGCAAATACTGGCAAAAACCCTCAAGGAAGAGGCTTATTTTCAGTAGTGGACAGTTAAAAGCTGATGTGACTGTATTAGTATAGAATTGTACTATCAGTGATACAACTGAACAATGTTCTAGTGTTAAAAGTCTCAAAAACACTATAAATACACGTTAAATTTTAATATAATAACTACCTGTTTAACTTACATATAATTTGGTCGAGAAAGCTCGATTAGTTTCGGGATCATCCGGCACCCTTAATCCGCACGCCTCAGGCCGCCAAAGTCATGCTTGTGCTCGCATAACAGCGGCTCATAACTAAGGATAGCCCCGAAAACAACTTAAGATTTCTTAAGTAATGTTTATTTAGAAAATATATTTATTTTGGCTTGGAGTTTATCTGACATCTAAAACTGGGTGGCGACTTAAATTTCCAATTAAATCTCCGGTGAAAGAGAAAATAACAAATCTATTTGATTCAACTAATGACGGTAGATTACCACGTTGGTTTCTAATACTCTCGGCAAATGGGCATATTTATATATTTATTCGTTTATTGCACAATACAATTAGTACAAATGTTTAACAAAAATATGCTCTACTAACTAACCATTAGATAAAAACAAAAAACGTTTAAGAACAATGATGGCGAACATATATTACATCAAAAAAAAAAACCTATTAATATAAATTGACATAATAATAAATATAATACCGAATATTTTTTTTAATGCAACTTAAAATCACAATCAAGGTGGCAGTCCACCTGATGGAAAGTGGTAACCGCCTCCTATAAGCAGTACAATAAACAACAGAGAATACTATTTTCTTCATATGCGTTGCCATCCCTGAAGTCTAAAGTGCTTATGTATCCTGTAAATTCACTTTAATATTAAGTGAATCTACAGGATACAGAAGCACTTAATATTATAAATATATTACATATATAAATATATATTCCCTTTATGCGTCTTAGGGAGAAAAACCTCAAAAACTCCGCACTTTACCACATTTCGTTTACGAGTTTAAATCTAACTTTTCAATTCAATCGAGGTGTTTGCTGAGATCGCGAAAGATATTTTTCACAAAGTTTTCTATAGTCTATATATATAGGTCTGAGTTCTATTTTTTTTTTTGCAACCTGAAATGGCTAACAATCTAAAGGCCTATATAATGGAAATTATTTTTGTTTCGAATAATTACTTCAGGTTCTCAGGGTACTCCAAATTCACATACAGGTCTTACGAACTGACTGTAAACCTTGTGTCTGAAGGATAACGGGAAAGAGAGATTGAGCTGTCTTACTAGTAATATACCCCGTCAGGTCGATTGATGCCTATGGATATAAAAGGTAGTATCCCGTTATGCGTTGCCTTATTATAAATTAATAAATGAAGAAATTTACATTATTGTCTTATAAGTATTATAATATTCTTTTATTTTACTGAACTAGATGTTATCTTGTGGAAGTCTATATCATTTTATTGTTATTATTTGAATACCCACACTTTATTAAATTCCGCTACCATTTCTACGTGTGTTACTGCCAACGACATAAATTAAATAAACACAATAACATTCTTTTTCCACTGAGGAAAACTGTTATGAATCAAGAATAGGTAATTCAACGCCTCATAATTTGAGGATAAATAACAAATTAAACGTATTCCTTAATATCTAAAAGATTTTATAATAAAATGTAATTATATACTAGAGCAATGATTTTATTTTAATTAAATAGAATAGGACTTCTCTTCATCTTACATTCTATAAGTACTTGCTTTATAAAGTATCTAGAAGTAATACACATTTAATGATATAACAAATAATATAGAACAACTTAGTTGCATAGAAAAAGAGAGAAAGTTAGTTACGTATCGCATGCACGCACGCACGCACGCACGCACGCACGCTTTGATCCACACACACACACTGATAAATAATAAGATATTTTATAAATTTCAAATTTTCAAAGTATTTACCTATTAACGCTAGAAATGTTATAAAATAACGCTCACGATAATAATAAGCAAACTCAATTGATCATTTATATCTATTATTAGTAAGGATTATGCATACCTATATTCATATTATTATATTATTGCAGATTGCGAGAAGTGATTGGGGTGCGTAAATCAATTTTGCAAAGCTTTTAACGGTGTTGTCTGGGAAGCCGTTGTAGAGCAATTTGCGAAAGCCTTTAACATCATGAAATATGGGTACGTTTTCAACGAGTTCAAAAAGTCGGTTAACTCAATTGAGTTAATAAGATAGGTATATGATAACATATGATGAACGAGTACCCGAAAATTTATAGCCCGATTTCAAAAAAGGATAGGTATTTTTTTAATAAATAAAATAGTATGGTAACCCTTTCTGCGGTGTTAATTTAAACTGGCAGCATAACTGGTAAGGTATTAAGGACAGAAGAAGTGAGTTAGTTGAGTTGCCTTAAATTTAGTACGGTTGTTTCTAGACCTCCCTGAGGTAAATCTATTATATTGCTAGTAATATAGGGGCCGCTAGTCCCTATTAATAATAACCCCTTCCATTCCAGGTGGTGATTTTTTTCTATATATGAAAATGGAATAGACACCCCCGATATTGGTATACGCTGGCGGATCACCAGTGACAGATGGTAGGTAAGGGATAAATCAGATCAATTAGCGCATCGTGACGAATTCCACAAGAATTAACCACGATGATCTCCAAGGGGAACCGCGTGGAGGTCATCCTGCACACATATCTGTCACGCCTGTCTCCAATTAGGGTAGGCAGAAACAATGGAACGCCAAATGCTTCGATTCAAACAAACATCTTTCGCTTCTTTCACATTCATCAATCTTTTCATACACGCTCGCCGGTTACGGGGTACTTTTAATTTGGCCCTTCTTCAGCACGTGAGGTCATCCTGATAGGGTATAAATCCCCTTCCCTCCGATATTGTTTGATAGGTACATATGTTAATAATATTACAACATCTCAATCGATTAACATTTTACTACGATCCCGATATATACTAAGAATAAATACAATTTAATTAAATAATATTTTGTCACTGACTCGGAACATGTAAGGGTCAATTTTCTTGGCAATCCTGTTTGACTGCTAGTACTTGCTAAACCAGTCCTTTGAAGGAATTGCCACGAACGTAATATTATGTACATTACATTAGTGGCAATTTCATTTCTACGGAAAACAGCATTTATATAATATTTTTTTGTAACTAATGGGAGACAGGCGTGACAGATATGTATGTATGTATGTAATATAAAGTAAATACATAAGTTACAGAAAATATTTTACACCTGCTATTTTCCGTGGCTTTGCCTGTTTGTATATAAAATAAATTTTTAAATATTATATGACCTATCCGTTCACCAAATTTCATTGAAATACGTTCGCCCATTTAAAGTTAATTAAGTAACTAACAGACTAGATGTCTAGAATCTATATAAACTTTTATATTTACATTATTAGTGGAATTAATAAACTAATTTGATTTCTTGATTTCATTACATTCAACACAATGGTAACAATTAAGTCTCTAACATCTAAGATTATAGTCGTGAACATATTTCCTGGTTTAGTATGTATTTAATTTATTATATAACTCAATCTATATTAACATTATATAAAGAAATATTTGATTGTTTGTTTGTAATGGATAAACTAAAAACTCAAAAACTACTTCATCGATTTTAATAAATCTTTCAGCTGTAATAAACTACATTATCAGCAAATAATATAAATATTATTTTTCTTATTATTATTATCATATATTATTTTCTCTCCACCAGTGTACAGCCGGGGCGTATCGTTAGTTTATCATAATTTTATTTCACTTTTCACATCCAATTCACATGACGACAATCCCAGAAAGCATTTTCAAACGATCATAGAAAACAATATATCACCTCGGGCCATGCTGTCAAACAAGGAATTGTTTTTGATTCTTTTATTTTAAAATAATAATCAAAGATCGGCTGAATAATGGCTTACCATTAAGAATCTTAAAAATAAAAGAATTTATTGTATATTCTATTACGTGATATCTTCGCCAATATTGGACCGATTTTGACGAGTTTTTTGAAAATCAAAAAGATTTACTCCTATACCAAAATTAAATTAGATCTTCGTCATTGAAATCGCTCTCCTATGTGGAAAAAGTACTAAAATATTAAAGTAATAAAATTAAATCTTTTGTCTGGAGATAAAAAATAATATATAAAATAAAATTATATTAATAAAATTGTATATTGTTATGAAAGTTAAAAATTCTGTCTAAAAAATGTTCGATGAATAATATAAATAGAAAATGCTAATAAGAATAAAATAAAGAGTATGTAAAAAACAAGAAGTATTTTTTAAATACATTTATTTCACAATATTAAACAAATTAAGACAATTCAAAGGAAGAGCTTCACTAATTTACTAAGGCAATCGTTTTATATTAAAGTTTTTAAAATCAATCAATACTCAATCTTCGCCGCCCATCGTCAAACCATTGTCAATGAAATAATTCGATCCAGTAACACTTTTAGCTTTATCGCTAGCTAAATAAAGAATCAACTCGGCGACTTCTTCACAACTTGAATATTTACCGAGTAATGATTTTTTACTAAACTCCTCTATGGGAATATCTACTCCAGCTTTAATTGTAAGCTCCGTTCCGACCAGACCTGGACTTATAGTATTTACTCTAACTCCAAGTGGTGACAACTCCATAGCAGCTCCTCGTGTGAAATGACTTACAGCAGCTTTAGACATACCGTACACATTCAACGCTGGTAGAAAATGAATCTTTCCAGCTATACTGGATATATTGATAATATTACCTTTAGTTTTTATTAGATGTGGCGCTGCCAAGCTGGTTAAATTAACCATTCCACGAACATTGGTGTTTAACATTTCATCATAGGTTTTAATTATACTGTTGTCGATTAAAAGTCCTAAACGCATAACACCAGCATTGTTGATAAGTACATCTAATTTACCAAATTTTTCGATAGTATTATCGATTGTTCGTTTAGCATCTTCATCTTTAGATACATCTGCTTTGATTACTAATGGTGTGGATCCAATTCTCTTAATTTCATCGGCGGTTTTCTTCAAATTTGCCTCGTTCCTACCCAAAATGACTACTTTGGCGCCTTCTTTAGCAAACATTACAGCCGTGGTTGCACCAATACCAGCGCTCGCGCCAGTTACTAAAACAATTTTGTTTGCAAAACTCATTGTTAAAAATCTTTACGCGGAACGACGTCTACTTGGTAGAATATCTTTTTCAAAACTGAGACTTACAGCTTGAATTGATGATTTATAATTAATATCTATGTTTATGCAATTATTAGTTGTTTTTCTTTACATAATTAATTATTGATGATGCTTATAACTCATCTTAATTCACAGAATAACATTTTAGTTTCATTATGCTCTTAAGAGTAAAATTTGTTCATTAAAAATTTAAAACTGTTAAAAATTTAAGCAATTGGGTTCGCCTACTCGGTCTGGTAGCAATAAAAAAGTACTAATACTTTTTGTTTATCTGTGGTCTACTTCCTGAGAGTTGCATGACATGGTTCTGTTATTAATCGATTATATTTTTTAAATATATTTGTACTTATCTGAAAAGAAATACAATATATACTCATATGTCTATTTTTTATTCAAATATCAATGTAACAAAATAGGTATGCTTACACTTAAAATTTAAGGTAGTAAGTAGTTATTATATTTTTATGAAAAAATAATTTATACGTCATAGTAAATATTTTTTAAAAAAATCCATGAATACTCTTTAAATCGTAAAGATACAATAATTATTCACAAATATTAAAGTTAAATGTATATGCAGTGAACTTAGCACTATCTTTATTATATCATTAATAATTATTACTGTTATTTTCAAACAACTCTAAGAGATTATTAAATGTTATATAAAAGATGTTTATTGTTATAAAAGTTAGAAATGATTATATAATTATATCTTATCAATTATATATTTACTTCATGGAAACACTAGCTGTGACTTGCAATTTTATCTATTGCAATCCATAAATCCTAAGCATAAATCAATCCAATATGCCAGTTTTTAAATTTTTAATCAAATTCAATGAATGGTCTTTCGGTTTGAAGGGTGGGATATAGCGTGAATTTACAGGGTACAGAGGAATAACACCCGAGTCCTCAGGAATGGCAACGCATGGGGGGTATCATGGGCGAAACAGTATACTCTGTTATGTCCATGGTACTGCTCGTGTCTATAGGCGACGGTTACCACTTTCCATCAGGTGGGCCCTTAGCTTGTTTGCCATTCTAAGTCGTATAAAAAAAAAGAATGGTCTAAGTGTGAGACGATAATAAAACACTTTTTTATCTTTACAAATATTTTGCTTTTATTATAACATCACTTGAATTGTATAAATCGGTCACAAATAATCTGTATCAATAGAAGTTAATGAAAATGTAAATAGACGAATAACTGAACAGACCACAAAAGAGTCTACTGATGTCCAATAGCAGTACAAAGAAAAAATATTTATTTTACTTTATTGCACCATAAACAAAAATATACAACGACAAGTGAATAATTCAAGTGAAATACAGTAACATAAATAAGTTATTGAATGTTTCGATTACTTACCGACTTTATTTTAAGAGAATTTTTGTAATAATTTCAACTATACTTCATTATGACTAGTGGCGAGCTATGGAGAGTGCTATTCTTAAAGTTTATTTACGTGCTAGAATCCGAAATGAGGATATCCGCAAAATGAAAAGAAAGGTTCCTGAGTGGCGATCATGTACGGGCGAATGCAGTATCAGACAACCCACCTAAACTAGATGAAGTGACGACCTCGAATGCATTGTAGGGGATCAGTGTATGCAGGTGGCTCAGGATTGTTCTTTATGACAGTCTATGGGAGAGGCCTATGTTAACAGTGAACGGATAATGGCTGAGCTGACGATGAAGATGATTTGACTGATTGATGAACACTTTATTACCCTTCCATTACTAACTATTGAATTAAACTAAAGACATTCGCGGTATTGCATAAAGCAATTTATATACTTATTAACTACTTTTTACAAAAAACATACATATCTCTGCGTGGTCTACGGCTTGTACAACAGATTGTGCTCAGAGGAATTGTTCTATATGATGCCCACGGCCACTTTCTACCATCGAACGGCTCGCCATCCATATCCTACAGCCTAAATAGTCACGTACAGCGCGGTTTTAGAGATGTTTCCTCCCACGAACACTCAGGTTATGGAATCATCTCCCTGCCGAGGTTTTCCCAAGAGACTACAGCATGGGGTGCTTCAAAAGGGGAGTAAAAAGTTTTTTTCAGGGTCGGCAACACGTGCGATTATTGCAGGTATTCATAGGCTACGGTAACCACTTACTATCAGGTGGGCCGTATGCTTGTTTGCCACCTCAGTGGTATAAAAAAAAATATCTCAAATACATTAACACCTTCTATTTGTCTACAACAATTTGTTACTTCTATTTCTGTTTCAATTTGCGAGCAAGTCAGCACTGTGACAAAATCCTTTAAAATAAAACATGTTCCCTTCACCACGTTTAGATGTAGCTATCTGTATTACAGGTGTGCCATTCAAATTACCCACACTTCCCCCTAAAGTAGATTCGTCCCGTTTCAATAAATAACCGCGCGGATAGGACCGAGATACGAGAAACAAATTGTGCCACTTTGAGAAATTTCAACCCGAATTATGTTTTTTATTCCTACGATAAAATATTTGTATGTTAATAAAACGTGTTCAAATGATAATTTTAGGGTTTTTATTCATGCAAATGGCCAGTGGAATGGCATTGTCTAATATCGTTTAAATAATTTTGAACATTATCATTTTCTGCTACAGACAGTTTTATGTTCTTCATAACTTCAGTCTAATACACTGCCTTACGTTTCAATGGTTGTATACGTTGCAATTCGAATCCTGTATAATTTAAATATCATGTAACAATTTAATATTCTATACATTATATATTTGTAAATAATCTAGGCTTTTTGCATGTTAGTACCCAGATACTTTTTATTTTTGATTTAAAATTTCCTTTTGTCGGGGCAACTAATTTATGTATTCTCCTCCAACTAGCTCTATTCTAGGCCATGTTTTTGACATTCTTATACTCCCATATAGTCCCATCAGTTGTTTCTCGGTCTTCCTCTACTTCTTTGTTCTTTATTTTTCCTTTTAGAATGCTCTTCATTCATCATATCGTATAAGATAGCCCAACATTTTGTCTCTTCTATTGTCCATATTGTTTTAATTAATGTTTTTGTCTCATTCACCCTTTTCAAGACTTCGTTAAGTACTTTACATAGTATATCTTTATTTAATTTAGTGCCAGAGAGCTCTGTTTAATTGTTATTATTATTATAATCATCATCCTATCAACTGTTAACTAAGAGAAAGTCTTATGTCCACTGCTGAATATAAGCCTTCCCATAAGAGGACTTTTTGCCAGTACTTGTCACACTTAGCGAGTTGATTATTATGCTTGGAAATACTTTTTAACATTAGAAATTAATTAATAATAATTAAAAACAATCAATTTGCAACACAAAGATAAAAATACATATTAATCTTTACTAATACAATAAATGCGAAAGTAAGTTTCTTTATTTGTTACTTTTTAGCACTTTATCGCCAGTTAGAACGTAGAAGGTAAGAGCTAGGCTTCTAAAGAACTTTTTCTTAACAGATGTCCAATCACATACCTAGGAAGACTGGTTATTTCTATACTGCATCTATACTAAATATATGTTCTATTACATCACAGAATCGTATAACTCTTGAATAAAACATACACTTAGAACAATGAGCGCGCCCGTAAACAAAATGACACCGGAACAATGTCACTGGATTTGCAAAAAGGAGAGCAATTCTTGAATTTTTCAACGTAATGCGACTCTTTGCATTTCGTATTTACTTTTTCTTATTAGTACAATGACTCGAGAATAATTTTACTATTATACATGCATATATTTACATATTTTATTAGTTGCATTTACTCACAATTTCGTACGCGTGTATTTTAAAAGTAGGAAGTAGGCCGAAATTAAGTAAGCACACCATTTTCTTACATAGAAAAAAAAACCAAGGTAATAGACTACTTTTAAATTACGAATCAAGATATTTATACAAGATCGTGTAAGTTTTATCTTGACATTTAATACGTGCATCACAAAGGAGGAAGGGATTGTTAGTATTGGGGATCTAATAGCCCCATTGCTAGCAATATACTCTATCAGGTTTACCTCCACGCTGTCCACCTCAAAACCTGATTAATACTTTATAAATTTGTCACTAATAGGCCAACTGACCTGTTCCATTCTCATCTATATTTTCTCACTGGAGCCCCACCAGTGTATATCGATAGCACGGGCGGGGTTACCATTACATTTATCGTATACCCTGGCGGGGCACAAGTGAAGGATGATAGGTGAGAATAAAACAGCAGCTTAATTAGCCCATCGTGATGAATACATCTGGAATTTCACACTATGGTTTTCAGGGGTAACCGCGTGGAAATCGAGCTGACAGAGTATATTGCTAGCAATGGTATTGGTTGCCCGCATTACTAACAAACCCATCTCCTTATTACCGTTACATTGTCATCCATTATAAAAACGTGCATCACTCGCGAGCATATCCACGGAAAACAGTTACTTATAAGAGATAAGATTCAGATAGTAAAAAAATCATTCAGTATTATTGTTGACAGCCATCGCTTCCGGTTACGTAACCACAAATCAAAGAGAATTTGATCCTCTGGAAAAAACAATTATTGGAAACAATCCGAGTTGTGGGCGAGATAGCTTACGAGTTTCAACTTTCCTTAACACAAAACTGTATCTGTTGTGTTTGGAGTATAAATAGTACAGCGGCATCATTGTGTTCTAAGAAATCACATATAAACACATCGTATTGTGTATTACTTTATTATTTCTAATATTAGAAATATAACTACTAGCTTTTACTTGCAACTTCGTCCGAAGTGACTGAGATATGTTTACAGAACGCGATAAAAAGTATCCTATCTCCTTTTTCACCATATACCATATAGTACATATATACCAAATTTCATAGTGATTGGTTAAGCCGTTAAGGTGCTACAATGTAACAAACAAACTCTTTCACATTTATAATATTAGTGAGGATGTGTCTTTTAAACTCCATTAAAATTATCCGAAAGTCTTTTCCTATTTTTATATAATTTGTACGTACATAGATATCTCCGAGTAAGCCTAAACTTCTTTCAAATACTCGCAAGGTAAACT